ATAGGACCTTGGGCATCAGTCTCTGGCTATCGACAAAGTGTCAGCAGTGTCTGGGGGAGGGAGGAGCTCTCTGGGTTTCTCCCTCTCTCCCTCCCACTCAGAGTTTCCTCCCCACCTTGCTGCAGTGGGAGTCCAAAGCTTTGCAGGACTCCAGCAAACAGTTGCTGCACATTAACTTAATTTAACTATATGACCAAGAGCAAGGTTTTGCTGGAACTCAAGCTAATTCCAGCCTGGAGGAATGCCAGGGAAGCTCAGCCATCCAGCTCTGGGGCTGCCCAGCATGGAGGAGAGGACGGGCCCAGGAACACTGCTGGCACAGACCTGGCTGTCCTTGACACGAGGATGCTGCTGCTGCCTCCTGGGACCCCAGTTCTGTCTGCCAGGAGCTGCAGAAAGGAGCAGGGACGGGCACAGGCAGTGCTTGCCCTGGTTTTGTGGTCATCCCAAAGCTGCCAAGTGTGGGCAGCAGTTGGCTGAGGGCTGCAGGGGTGTTGGGGCTTGTTATTGGGGGATGTTTGGGCGAGCCTGTGGCTAATTTGGGAGTGATGCCCCAAAAATGGGATTGAGCAAGCTCAGTCCCTGCTCTCACAGATCATTCACCCCAGGTCCTGCCTGTTCTCCTTTGGTGCAGATCCCATCCTGCTCCTCAGGGAGAGATGTTCACCAGCCAGCACACAAAATCTGAGACCCTCAGCAAGAGACTCTTTCACAGACCAAACCTTTTCTCCAATTTAAAGATAGCTTTGCTGGAGAAGTCAAGATCAGCTGGAAGGTCTCCCACAACAGAGCCAGAAGAAGGGATGCCCAGCCAGGGCAAAGCAGCTCAGGGACAGCCAGGATGTGCTTTGTGCTGGCACCCCTGGTTTGAGTTGAGCTACAGCCACAGGGGAAGTGCTCTGAGCTGCCTTCATTGAGAGAGGGAGGCAGTGACCAGGAACTCATTCATCTTTAGCAGCAATGCAGTATCAATCATCTCCACATCTCAAAACTAACCACAAATGCAGAAAAATGCATCCCCTGCATGTGGGTACCACTGACCATCTCCAGCTCCTGCCATTGCAGGAGGTGCTTTTGGGGGTGGCCTTGGTCCTGCAGGTCTGGAGTGCCTGATCCTAGCTATGGCACCAGGATAACAGCCTGGCCAAAGCTGTTCTGCTCCACCAGCACCAACTCTCCAAGTCATGTGGAGAGAAAATCCTCCTGGAGAGCATCCATGCAGGAGACTGCACTGGGAACACACCAGGGGAAGAAGCAGGGGAGCACAAAGGGCCTTTCCCTTCAATTTTTTGGTGTAAGGAAAGCCTAAGAAGAACAATTGGTGAAGTGAGGAAAGGAAATGCCACTTCAAAACGAGAAACCTCATCTTGCTGGTGCCTCTTTGGCCTGAGCACAGCCTGAGAAGAGGCTCTGTTCCATGGAGCTGCTCTTTCATGAGGGATGCTCCCTCCTCCTGCCTTTCTCCAGGGACTGCTCATCACCAGCAGGATAGACAGACAGACAGACAGACAGTGCACGCACTGGGGCAGGACAGAGGGGAGAAATCCTAATAACCAGCCTAAAATTGATTCACTTCTGCTCAATCTGATTTCTCCTAACTGGATCCACATGTCCTGGCCATGGCACATTAACTTCAATTACAGCTTATTAATGTCTCCGTGATGGAGCGTGCCCTGCTGAGCACGGCGCTGACTGACGTTCTGAAGGGGAGGAAATTACTCCAGAGAGACCCCAGAGTGCCATGGAAGCACAAGCAGTGGCTCTCACCACAGCCCTGGCAGCCAGGGAAAGCTCATTCACCCGTGCCTGAGCTCGCTGCTGCACCGAGGAGAAAATTGAGCAGTGAATAGAGAGATCTGTGGGGAAAAGTCCTTCCACTTCCCTTGCCCAGCCTGCCTGGCACACACACAGCACACAGAGCAAGGGCTTGCTTGTGTCTATTCCTGTCCTGACTCTTCTGCATCTCCAGTTACTCTGCAGATCAATAGGGACAGGATGGGAGAAGAAAGGGAGGGGGGAAAATAAGAAAAGAAAAAGATACCGAGAAGAAAGAGAATAAAAATAAACTGTCAGCCATGAACAGAGAGATGGACCTGGCTGAGGAGATGCAGAGGAGACCCCGAGGGAGCAGCCCACTGTCCCCACGCCCAGGAATGAAGCAGTGACCCCCAGGATTCGCCAGATCCTCTGGCCTACAGGACAAGGGAAGGCAGAAAAACTCTTTCCCCTTGTCCCCATGTCCTTTGCTCTCTTTCTGCTTTTCCCAAAAGCTCTGGGAGATGGTGGTGAGGGGTTTTCCTTGGTGTGAAGCTGGAGTGTGAAGGATGGGGGCCAGGAAGGGACCACAGAAAGCTCTGAACCCACCAGGTAAGGCAGCAGCACAAGAAACCACCTGGGCTCATGGTCTGCTCTGAGGGCAAAGTGTTTTCTCTTCCCTTGACCATGAACTCCGGCTGGAAATGAGCTGCCAAGTGCCTCATCATCCTGAGGGCACTGCCAAAATCCCAATGCCACACACAGAGGGAACACAGTGCCCCACACTGTGGCCAGGGACAGCTCCTTCAGCCCCTGGGGCTGCTCACTCTGCTCTCCAGGTGGAATTTTCTGGCTGTGTGACCCCTCATTTCTTCACAATCATCTTCCCTCTTGTTTCCATGCCCCCTGTAGTGGATCCCTAACACCACCCCAGTTTTTTCTAGGCACTTTCCTGCTGTTCCTTCACCATGTCCTGGAAGAGGCACTGTGTGTCCATCCCCATCCCTGCCCACCCTGCCTCCCCCCTTCCCTGCACAGTGCTCCTGTCAGGCTCACATTGATTTCTCCTCTCTTCCCCTCAATAACCCATCCCTTGTTGAGCCATACACTAGATTTAATTTGGTTTTAGTCCCTGCACTGTAACTGGCTTTGCTTACAGCTGGAATTAGATTGCTTTTCAGTGCAAAAACCTGCTTGCTGGGACTGGAATAATCACAGGAGCAAAGTTAATTCACAGGGAGCTTCTCCATCTTATACACCACTTATCCACAGCTCCTCAGCTGCTCACCTGTGCCCATGGGGGATGGAAAAGTCAGCAGAGGACAGGACTGACCTGTTCCCTGTCCAGGATGAGTGTCCCAATCCCCTGGGAACCAGCCCAGCAAGCTGAAGCAGCGCAAGCAGCATCTTACTGTAGCTCAGAACTGGGGAGTTCGCGCTGACAAAAGCAGATTTCAGCGTTTTCCCAGCTCCCAGCCAAGGAAAAGCCCTCTCCTCGCGGCGGCCCTGCAGGATTAGCTCGGGGTGTGCCGGGAGGCTGCGGCCGGGCGGGTTTTGGGGAGCGGAGCCAGGAGCGGAGCCGGAGCCGCTGCAGCAGCCGCGGGCGGGCGGCCAGGGCGGCACCGCGCCAGCGCCGGGAGCGCCCGCCGGGCACCGGCCAACAAACCCCGGCCCGGCTCGCCTTGGCCACGGCTGAAAAGCAGCATTGCAGCTTGCACGGGGCGCCGGCAGCCCGGCCGTGCCCGCCCCCAGCTGCCCTCGGGGTGGATGTGGAATTTTGTAGAGGTTGCGGCCGCTCCAGCCCTGGGTGTGTTTGAGAGGGTTTTTCCTCCCCTTCCCCCTAGCTGCCTCTTTGCACAGAATTTTTAGGGATTCTCTGTCTTGAACCAAGCCCTGTCACTATTAAATGGTATTGAATTTGGTATTAAAAAGCTGACGGAAGGATGGGGAGAGGGGAGGAGGACAACTGAGAGCAAGGTGCTGGTTTGGAGAGAATCCCACCAGCACAGCCTCAAGGCCGAAGTACTGAGCCAACAAATCCTGCCCAAGATAGAAGGAAAGGTAAAGGGCTCAGAGGAGGAACGTGTTCATGGGACACCAAGGATATTTTAACCCTTTGAAGCACCAAGCATCCCCAGGCTGTGGGAGCAGTAGCAAGTCCTTGGTTATCTGCGCTGATCTTGGAAGCCAAAGCTCATTGCACAAGTACTGACATCAAACATTGAGTTCTAATTTATCAGACACACATGGAGGTGCTCTCTTACGCCTCTGCCCACATGCTTGAGCCCCCCAGGGCTCTCCCTGAGCAACCCCCACGGTGGGCACCCCAAGATGCCCCCAGCCCAGCTGAGAGCCACAGCTGCTCATCCCAGACAGGCACCACACTGTGACAAGGACCCTCACTGCTGCCTCCTGCCTGCCCTGGCGGGTGGAAAGGGCTCTCCCATCCCTCCCTGCAGCTTCCTTCCCCTTGGAGCCTGTTCAAAGCCAGCCTCGGTGGCACCTGCAAACATTTCTACTTGCAAGTCTCAGAAGCAAACGGTTTGGAATCGATACAAACGGCTCCTCTGTCGCTGTGGTGATGCTTGTTAGCATGGGGTGGGTGATGGGGAGATTTTTCCCTCTCCTGTAAGTCTCTCACAAGCTGGATGGGAAATCAGCCATCTCGGCACTTTTCCACCTTACTTTGCTTTTTCGGTTGGTGTCATAATGTAACATATGGCATCGTATAGAGAAATGAAAAACAAAGCCCAGGAGAAACAAACCCCCTCCTGCTTCCTCTGCCCCAGATGTGTCAGGGGGTTTACCCTTACCCCAAACTTCATCTGCCAGGGCTGGGGCTGCTCAGGTTGTGCAGGACTGACTGGGGTGACCCACCCTGCTTGTACTGGCAGGGAGCTGGAGTTTAGTGGGGTGAGCCTCATTCCACACCCCATATCCACCAGCATCACCCCTGAGACATCAGGGCAAAGGCTGGCTGTGTTTGCACAGCTGGGACAGGAGATTGGAGGGAGCTCAGACCCTGAGAGTCCATCCAAGCCACATCCCAGGGAGCTTCAGGAGGACAGCTGCAGGAGGACACAGCCTTGGAGGTGCCCCTGCCGTTCCCTGCAAGGACACATCTGCTGCCCTGCCCGGGGGGAAGGGGTGTTAGAGGGAGAAATAGTTCTCTCTCAGTTGCAGAAATGCTGATGGCTCAGTTTTCCAGCAAGGATCCACACCCAAAGAAACCCAGCAGCCGTTACCTGCCGGTGACTTCGATGTTGGAGACGGCGTAGAAATACTTGTACAGGTTCTCCCTCTGCACGTAGGTGCCGCCCAGGGCGGGCCTCAGCAGCCTCATGCGCAGGTCGGTGACGGTGAAGAAGTCCTTGAGCCCTTTGGCGCTCTCCAGCCGCGTGTACAGGTTGTCCATGTTCTTGAGGTCAGGGCCGGCGAAGATGGCGAAGCGATCCCGCACCTCAAAGCGGACGGTCTTCTCCTTCTTGGAGCCCGCCCAGCGGGAATACTCCTCGGTGCAGAGGACCCTGTTGGCACTGGTGGTGGAGAGGTCCCGGACCCTCCTTGCTGGCATGCTGAAGGCCTCCATGCAGTCGTCTGCATAATACTGGTACGGGTGCCAAGTCCTCCCGTTGTCCAGAGACTTCTCCAGCATCATGATGGTGGGGCGCCCGTACTCGAAGGTGATGACGATGTCGTCGGTGAGCTCGATGCTCTTGTTCCAGGACAGGGTGATGTTGGCCAGCAGCGGCTCCGGGTACCGGCGCCAGGTCACGCTCTGCCAGTAGGTGGCCAGGCCCTCGTCCTCGCTGTCGAACATCAGCTTGGGTGGGTGAGCCAGGTCGGGGTTGGAGGCGTCGCACTCATCGCTGCACAGGTACGGGTTCTCCTGGAACGACAGCAATGGTCATTGTTGGAATAGTTACCAATATTGTATATGGAATGTGCCTGAGCTTGTCTGGCCCTTGCTGCTTGACCAAATAGTGGCACTGTGGTGTTTTCACCCCAGTGACATCCTTGGCTAGCTGGATGTGTGGTGTTTCACCCCAGTGACACCTTTGGCTGGCTGGATGCTGCAGCTGGGCACGTGGAGACAAGTCCAGGCCTGCAGGAGCTCTGGTGGTGCTGGGATGGAGCTTTCCCCCATAACAGGGGCTGCTCCTTGGGTTTCCCTCTGCTGGAGAAGCTTTAAGGCGATGGTGAAGGAAAGGAGTCGGTTCTGATGGAGGGTTTGGATCCAGAGCTTTATTCTGGCCCACAGGCCTCTGAATCCAGAACAGCTCCAACAGAAGTCACAAACCATGTGGTTTGCTCACCCTTTTACCCAGGGGAGAGGGGAGGGAAGGGGTAGGGAGCCACCAACCAGGTATGGGAGAGGAAGTCGTAAGGGACAAAGGATACGTGGATGGCCCAATGCCCCCCACGGGTGGAGGGCATCCTTTGAACTCTGCCAATCACTCATGCCCTTCTGAAATGCCAGGACTGACAGGCAGCGCTCAGTAAGGGTCAGGGTGTGGAAAAGAGGGATGATTGACACACCTGGGCAAGGAATCTTCAGGGAGAAACCCGGGGTATCTGAGGCAAACCATGACATGACACCACAACAGGTCACCTGAGAGGAACACAAAGCCTGGCACGGCATGGGCAGTACGGGCACACCGGCTCTGGTTGGGCTGCTTGGGTCAAGCCTTAACTGCTGGGCTGGGCTGGAGGGTGCCAGGGCTCTGGAGGATGGTAGTTCTGAGAGCGAATTTAAGGCAGAAAGATGTGGCTTTGCCTCAGCTCTAAGAACGGCTGAGCTGTTTCCTCTGAAAGGCCCTTTGGGAAAGGGCTTTTCAATTTGGCACGGGGCAATTTTCATAGAAAGCTCCTTCCCTGAGATGGTCTCTGAGAAACCTGGGTTAAGCTTGGCTGATTTACAAGCCTAGGAAAGCTGCTCATCCCTGCAGCCCTGGAGGAGCTGAATGGCTGCAATCCCCCAGGCACACCCTGCCTCGCATGGCTCCTGATGCTGACACCATCCCTCCAGTGCCTCTGAGCACAGCTAGAGGAGGGAAACCCAATTTCTCCAGCTCCAAGCTGGGACAGAACTGAGCAGCAGCAGAGACAGCAGAGATTTGTGCTCCTGCCCAGAGGGAATGGGGTGGGAAGGATAGCTCATCCCACCCAGGTGACAATGTCCACTGCCTCCAGGCCAGTGGGAGAGAGCATACAGCCATCCCATTTTGCCCACACAGCCAGGCTGGTGTGTTTTGCAGGGACAAAAGATCTCTTTAACCTCCACATGCCCACGCCCTGAGCTGCACTAGGACACAGTGTCAAGGTCGTGATGAAGTTTTGGGGGTGGGCAGCTGTGCCAGTGCATTTATTGCTCACCTATATGTTTGTCAAAGCCCAGCACCACTGCCCTGCAGCCTCTGCCCCCAGGAGCGAGCACATGGCTCACCCCTGCCTTGGGGATTGTGTGAGGCTGTGTTCTGCTGGGTACAGACCACGAAAAACTCTGCAACACACTGCAAATCCGTGTTTTTGCATATGAAGCATCTCTTTGCTGTCACTTTGCCTCCCTCTCAGAATCAAAATCCAAAGGATTGGGGAGGGAGAGGGATTGGTATGACAGCGGGCTCTGCTGCTGTGGGACCCTGCTCAGGAAGGCAGAGGCACCTGGCAGAGGAGGAGGAGGAGGTGATAAAGCAGCTGGGGCTGCTCAGAGCTGCCTGAGGTGAGGTCTGGCTCTCCTGAGCACAGCAGCTTTCAAGGTAAGGCCAAACTGGGTGCTGTGCTTTGGTTTGTGGATGTTCTGTGCATGGTTGGGAGCCATGGGGAGGTGCTGTGTGTGGGATCAGCGTGTTCCTGCCTGGCCTGGGGATTTCCTGCAGTGCCAGGGTGTGAGGAGCTGATATTGGTACCTGGAGGCTCCAAAAAGTGACTGCAGGTTGGATCTGAGCAGGCTGGGTGTGTCTGGTTGCTGCAGGTGTGGGAAGAGGCTGCTCCTGTGTCCATGGCTGGCTTTGACCCAGGGAACTGCTGGAGTCTGAGTGCTGTGAGTGCTTTTAGGGTGCCCTGGGCACAGCCAGGCACAGCAGAGGAGGGGATCTGGCTGGTACAAGAGGATGCTTTCAGGTGCAGAGTGGGGCTGTGCTTTGGACATGGAAACCTCTAAGTAACACAACGTGCTCTGGAAAATCTGAGCTTTGCCATCTCCTGCCAGGCAACCAAAAGTCTTGGAAATGACTTAGAGCTTCTCTACTCCATGTGTGTAAAATGGGCCTTTGGCACCTCCTCAGAGCTCAGAGATGTGCACTGTTTGCAAAGTCACTGGAGGCCACAGCACCCAGGAGCCCCGAGAAACTCCTGAGGACACAAACAATTCTGTGTCTGCAGCAGCATGTGAGCAGCACAGTGTAAATAAGGCAGGAGGCTGCTCTGTCAGCACGGGGGGAAAACAGAGCAGTGAGTGGCTGATGTGTAGGTGAGAGCCAGGCTCCTGTGCAGGGGAGGCAGCCCTGGGGACACAGGGGACTCCTGTAAACACAGCACACGTTGTGTCTGTGTGGTGTGCACGAGGCTGCCAGGGAAAGCAGCACATGAGAAAACAGGTCAAAACTCAAAGTGTTTTCAGCCCAGTCTCGCTCTGACACACCCCTGCGTGGCAGTGAAGCTGCAAAAGCTGTGCTGGGGTTTGTTCCTCCTGTCACAGCCTCAGTTTGGGCCATGTGTGGCTTTTGTCACCTCTATGTGAGCTGGAAGGAAGGGCTGGGACTGGAGCTGCTGAGTGCCACCCTTCAGCAGGGAGGTTACTCACAAAAAGGTGCTTGGGTTGGTGTTTTAAAATCAAATAGCTGGATTATTTACTTATTTATGTATTTATTTATTTATTTATTTTGTTTGTTTGTTTGTTTGCAGCTGTGAAAACTGAACAAGGGAAATCAATGGAGTGCTCAGGCTTGCTTGGGTGGGTGAGGTTAAGAAGTGAGGGCACCCCACAACCCCCTCAAAGTGGGGGAGATGCCAGCTGGGCTGTGCTGGGGCTCTGAGCCACGCTGGGGGGCTCTCTCCTGCCACAGCAAGCTGTTCTGGAGTAGGGATTAAAAAACCCTGAGATATTGACATATTTAATATGCTCTCCTGACTCGTCACGTTCAGAGGAATTGTTTACCTCTGCTAATGAGACACAGCTTCCTGCTGGGGGATGGAGCTGCCTCTCAGCTCAGCTCTACAGCGGTGGCTGAGGGAAAAGGCACAAAAATCCCCCTCAGCTGAAGTGCTGGGGGCTCTGAGTGTGTTTCCCGTGCTGAGGCAACATATTGTGTTGCAGTATGGTCCTCCTGTCAATGTGGCCATACAGATGGCTTAATATGACAGCCCTGAAAAGACCATCCCAGAGGTCCATTTCTGCCACTTGTGTGAAGGAGGGTACAGCAGGTGGAGGATTGGCTTGGGATGGCAGCAGAAAACTCCCTGACAAACCTGCCCTGCTGCTCTGTCTGAGCAGAGTCTGTGTCTCAGAGCTGTCCTGGCAAGGGAACTCTTGCCATGAGCCTTCCTGTCCTTGTGTGCAGCAGGCACAGCCCTTGAGCTGGTGCGAGATGAATCTCACTGAGTATTTGCCTCTTGAGCTGGTGTGAGATGAATCTCACTGAGATTTTGCCCCTTGAGCTGATATGAGATGAATCTCACTGAGTATTTGCCTCTTGAGCTGGTGCGAGATGAATCTCACTGAGTATTTGCCTCTTGAGCTGGTGTGAGATGAATCTCACTGAGATTTTGCCTCTTGAGCTGATATGAGATGAATCTCACTGAGATTTTGCCCCTTGAGCTGCTGTGAGATGAATCTCACTGAGATTTTGCCCCTTGAGCTGCTGTGAGATGAATCTCGCTGAGGATTTGCTCCTTGAGCTGCGCCCACAGTGGCCACCTCCAGGGCTGTGGGTGATGCTCCTATCTCCCAAAGCTTTTTTGGAGTGGCCAAATTAAACAAAGAAAGGGCTCTGTGATGAACCCACACTAAGGGAACATTACCCAGAGAAAAGACTGGCCAGGATGGGAGATGGGACAGATTTCCCACGAGCAGTGAGTGGAGCAGCTGACTCTGATCAAGCATGATCCCCCTCCACATGTCCTGTCTGGAGGAACAGGGAGGGTCCTGGCAGGTCAGGGGCAGGGAGCAGAGGAGTGAAAGCCCTCCCATATGCTCATCCCAGGGAATGGAGATGCACAATCCCTGCTGGCTCCTGTGTATCCCAACCTAGGAAGCAGCACCCCCAAAGATCTCCTGAACCACCCTGATGCTCTGGGGAGGGGACAAATAGCTTAAGAGGTGCATGGTTGTAACAGAGCAAACACAAAAATAACCTGCAAGTGACAAGGTGGGGGAGAGCCTCAAAAGCCACCGAGTGACTCACAACACTACAGCTTCCTCTGCTAAAATGAAGTGTTCCTTTTTGGGGTTAGGTTTATTGAGTTGTCCTTCCTCTGTGGGATGCTTGATGCCTTTTCTGCCTGGGGGGTGGTTTGGAGTCAGCCAGGAGGGCAGGGGGGAGCGGAAACAGATGGCCACATTTTGGCTGCTCCCCTGGTCCTGGTAAGATCAGATATAGCACTATTGAAACAATTCCAGGTATTATTTTTGAATCTGGTTTCCTCCTCCAAGCTCTGTGTCCTCCAAAGAATCTGTCCAAAGTCTTGAGATATTTAAGTCTTCAATCTAAAAGTCAGGATGCATTAGCCAGGCAAACTTGGTCTCAGTGAGCTTAAAATAAACCAGTTCACTTTGAGTCTCACGCTATTAAATCAGTCGTGAGTGTCCTCACAGCAACTAAACATTGCGGATTTCAGCCTCTCCAGCTCTTCTGGTTGGGCACCTTATGGGGTTTTTGCAGCCTTGCT